GCACAAACATATATTTGGTAAATACCATTTGAGCATATGCGTCAGATTTAATGAGATGAGGTCCTTGCATGTTGAAAAGATCTGTTCCACTGTTTTTTCTCAGGCTGAATCTGATGGGGAGGAGAAGGTGGGTAATTCTAGCAGGGAAACTCTGGACCAATCGTGTGAGCAGGCCAGGGAGCAGCTCACCAACAGCATCCGCCAGCAGTGGAGGAAACTGAGGAACCACATGGAGAAGTTGGACAGCCAAGGTACATGCAGGCACCACTGTCACACACCTGAAGTATGGCAAAAGTAACTGTACAATACGCGTGGACGAAAATGTAATTGTATCAACTCTTGGTTTATTTGTTTCCCCAGCCTCCAAAGGGCAGAATCAGATGGAGTCCACTAAAGAGGTGGTACAAAGGGAGATCCACGAGGATGAGATGGAAAGGATGAGGCGTGAAGTGCAGCAGTGCAAAGAGTTCATTCATGCACAGCAACAGCTCCTCCAGGTCAGTCCTGCTTTTTTATTTAAGATGATCAGCAGGTCTGTAAAGGTTTAACATTTCAAACCAATATCAATATGAGTGCAATGTTTTGTAGAAATGTCAGATACGATTGCATTTTTAAAGTTTTTTTGTATTATTATTATTTTTATTATTTTGAAGTTCTTAAGAATACTTTTGTTAACAGTTATCAAATTGTCTGTTTGTGCCCATTCAGCAACAACTCCACACATCCTTTGATGATGAGACAGCAGCTCTTCTTAATGACGGCTACACACTGGAGGAGAAGGAGCGTCTCAAAGAGGAGTGGAGGCTCTTTGAGGAACAGAAGAGAAACTTTGAGAGGGAGAGGAAGAACTTCACAGACGCTGCTATTCGCCTGGGGCGAGAGGTACTCAAGTCTTTCGATGTTGTACCACAATCTTATTTAACATTTATCGTGGGCGTTGTTATTGTAGTACATTCCTTTTTTTAAAACGTTTTTTACTTTTTTACAGAAAAAGGCCTTTGAGGAGGACCGTGCCTCTTGGCTCAAGAACCAATTTTTGAACATGACTCCATTTACGGACCTTAGGAGACGTTCCTCGTCTGATGGTCAAAGTGCATTATCAATAAGTAAGTCAGTAATACAAATCTGTAGTGAAAGCAACATAATGAAAGATTTTGTACTTTTTCCAATTCTGCTAATTGTCTGACAGCAGCTTCTGTCAGCAGCAGTTGGCTGATAGCATTGCTTCAGCAACAAGTAAAGGTTAGACAAGAAAACATTTCCTAGTAAGTAAAATATGATCTAGTTTCTCTAAAATATACTTTTTGTTGCTGTAGAGCCCAGTGGACTTCTCCACTTCACTTGCTAACCATATTTGCATAATGCAAGAACATGGGTTCAGGGAGTGGGACTAACAAAGGCAACATTCTACCTATTGCTAGTCACTTTTGAATCAAAATTATATTGAAGCTGTTATTTTTAAGGTGCAATGTAACATAACGTTCCTTTCATAGCTATGAGGATGGCAACGAGTATACAACATTTGTTGTTGTTGTACAACATATTTGACTTTCAATGTTTTCTGTTTTAAGAGAAAAGATGCATTTCAATTGTCAATTGCTGCATACTGCATGTAAACACCAGTGACCGTACGAATAAGTGTATTTGAATATCCGCTGCATTGCAGGAAGTGAGCCAGAGATGAGAATGTCTTCCACCAAATCTCCGCCGGCCAAATCATCAACCTACGCCGTTTTCTCCACTCCTAAACCTACACAAAGTGCCACTGTGCCATCCACAACCGAACTTTACCGCACACTCCGCCTGATACCAGACAGCAGGTATTATTCAGTCACTTAATTACTATTATTTGTACTTTGTCTTTCTTTTCTAGGCATGCTTTCAGTGCTGGAATTACATTTTAGTGTTATTTTACTATGAATGCTGGCTCAGACCCCGATCCTGGTTGAGTTTGTGCCGTGTTACAGACATGCCTAATATTAATTGTTTTGTTTTTACATTTTAGTTCCTCCAGACATTCAAAACGAGGATGCTGGTCAGAGTCCAGCACTACTGAAGATGGAGATTTTCGGGTCAAATCAAACAGAATTCGATGTGGAGACTTGAGTATCTTCTCTTTGGGTGGAGATGAGAACAGCCTCACTTGAACAACTTTCAGTGCCTTTTTAAAACAAATTTATATATATAATTTCGCAATGAACCTAAGCATCAAGTCATGGCTGAATTCAATCACAACTGATGAACACTCCTTTTTTTTTGCAGCTTTTATGCCACATCGCTTTGTATGGACTTGCACAGATCATTCACTAAATCTCATCAAACGAGAAAGCACTTTAATGATTCTGCCATTGTTCATTTATTTACTTCCCAAACAATTCAACACTTGACAATTCAGATTTTAAGCTATATTCAAAGGATGTTATTTACCAAGTAGGGATTTGAACTTATTTTTTGTAATATGTGAATTATATTCAATGTTTAAGTTTCAAATTTAACAAATTATGTTTAGTTGTTCAAATTAACTTTGTTTTCATATTTGAAATGTATGATTTGAAATGGAGCATTTATTGACACAAGAATGATAATGGTGGGTTTTGCTGGTGTAACAGCACAATAAAGATATTTTTATGAAAGCTTGAATTCTGTCTTTATTGTGGCGCCCGCTAGTGGGATCAAATAGGAGTTGCAGTCACAAGTTTCAACAACCGGAATCCGGATGTCATCATCTTTGCTTTTGTCTCTCAGCATCAAGCCAAGAATCCCACCCACAGCATACCGTTTATTTTTCACAAAAAACACCGAAAATGTCGGGTTCCTCTAATCTTGTGGCCATGAAGAAAGTCGTACAGCAGCTCCGTTTCGAAGCGAGCATAAACAGAGTGAAGGTAATTTGTGTATTTATTGTTTTTCTGGCAAATAACTGAGGGGGGCGATCTCCACTGTTAGCCAAATCGGCTAACAACGGCTAGTTTATGCTAACAGCTAAGCTAGCCGCTAGTCAACAGGCGTAGCAGGGCGTTGCTTGGATTGAAGGGAAGTTTTTGATAATTAATCGGCATTTGACAAAGAGGAGAAAAATGTCGAATTGATCACATTTAGCATCTGTTTTTTCATTTTAGGATGACAAGATCCATGTTGTAAACTTGCATCCAAGTGAAACTAGCAACTTAACAATCAACCTGATGAATAACCTTCTTTAACCCTTTTTCTTTTCGCACAATTCAAAGGCATTGATACATTCACTAGTTTCACCCGATTAATACTTGTTTTTTTAGATATCTTTACATGTTTGCAACACAAAATGGTTAAAACCTGAGTGTCAGAGGTCTAGATATTCAGTTTTCTTCTCTACTATTGGTTAGTCTTCAAATACCCTCTTCCCTGATGATCACCAGGCCAGGGTGATTTTTTTTTTTTACAAACTTTGGTTCCTCTTTTGTCACCAGGTCTCCCAGGCAGCTGCAGACCTTCAACAGTTTTGCATGCAGAACGCCCTGCAGGACCCTCTGCTCACCGGTGTGTCCTCCAGCACCAACCCTTTCAGGCCACAGAAGGTCTGCTCCTTCTTGTGAAACCACTGCATTCATGGTGAGTCTGGCACCCTGTTGACATTTGGAATCAGTCACACACCCATAAATACAGCACAAGTAGGTGGTGTAATTTCTGAAAAGGTCTAATGAGAAGCGGATGTATTGAATAGAATAAACTAACATTCACTATAATAGAAGCATTTAATTGTAAGTTGATCGATACATCTAAGTGGTTTCCTCTCATTACAAAAAGCAAACAAACTGTGTTTAGCTTGAAAATTGCACTACATTTTTAGAGTTTGGAATAACTCTAAATATTCACAAAAACTTCCAAGACATCTCAAGCCTAATTTACTTCTTTGCTATCTATGCTCACTCTTCAAAATTATGAAACATATCTTTCCAAAAACAATTTGTTTTAGTGTGATGTTTGGTAATAATTAGATAGATAGACCTTTTATTAATCAGTATTAATTCATAATATTGCATTTACATAATATAAGATATACAAAATATGCAGCAGCGTATTATAGTACAATACATTAAGTCCTATCATTGATAAATTTAAACAATGTATTACACTGCAATATATTTGATAATTTTTCATTGATTGAAATCATAAGCCTAATCATTTTCTTTTTGTGGCGTTTATTTTCTTGTCTTGCAGGCCTTCATTTTGATGCTACAGGGAAAAGTTGACCTCAACACTGCTCCTCATGCCAAGCCATTATACTGCCACGGGATCTCTCGAGTGTAGAACACATTGGAATCATGTCAGGAAGATGACCATCTATTTTCAGCCACAGTAGAAGAAAGGAGACAGTTTTATTTTTCATGGCACAGTGTGATTTTTCAGTAAATAATTGTGCCTTTTCTATTGTTCTATTTTAGTCATCACTGTTCTGGACTTTTTTGTATTTAATGAATAAAAAAAACATTCTTTACTACTCCATGTTGTATTGGTTGGCATTTTCTGTTTTTTGCTACGCTGCAAATTATTTTACAACATAGTATAACAAATGTAACTGTCTACCATATGTCAGAAGTACAGTATTTATACAGTGTTTTTGAGATAATAATAAAAAGCATCTGATTTTCAGATGATGAAACACATCTATTTCCTATATTCCAATACAAGACAAAAGAACAGAAAACACATATATATATTTTTGGGCCAATCTGCTGGATCAGTTTGTGAGCCACTGCTTGGCAACACAAATGTGTTGAAGGGGATTATGACCTGAGGTGGATGTCTCTACTTGTTAAAAATACTCTAGGTCATTTTCAAAAAATACGTTTCTACTTGTTGCAGATGGATGGAGGTGTAAATAATAGATTTAAGGATGTCAAAATTACATTTATCTGATTCAGTTTCAGGGTCCTAATTGTGTGCATGCTGGTTACTGTCACTCATTATCGTTTACATTTAATAATTATTGTGATTGGTAACACCTGTGCTTTTTTTCTACTCTTGAGTCAAAATCAAGAGGAAACATCAAACGTCATGTTGCGTGAGCCTCAGATCAACCCAGAGCTTTTGGTTTTTACTCTCGCGAGAAGTGAACTAACGGTATTCAGATGATTCAGATCCATGGGCACTTCCATGGACGCCGGGCACTGATCCCGGGTCGGTGCTCTCGTCCCGCTCCTTCGGCGGTAAACCAGGTCTCTTAAATCCCAACTGCAGCTCGACCAGCAGCATTAAGCCGCCCTCTCAATCGTGAAGAATGAATCATGGGACGGCGTTACTGTGGAAACGACGGTAATTTACTTTGTTAACCTAGCATGTTAAGTCGTAAAATACCGTTAGCTAACAAAGGGAAATGGTTGTTCTACGGAGAATATGTTTAGCATGGTAGATAGGTTAACTGACTTGTATGATATATCTTGTCTTGCCGTTGTTTGTACCGGTGTTAGCCGGTTGCAGGAAATGGTTTAACGTTACGTGATGCTAACAAGGTGCTCACTGATGTGACGCTAGAATCGTATTTTTAGCAGACTTAGTCAACAATCAACTCAATGAAGACCTTAAGTTAATTCAAAAATCTGCTGCAGTTGAAAACAACACAAGAGCGAGCAACAGTTAGCATGATGATGCTCCAGCATGGATCCACACAGCTCCTCTGCCTCACAGCCAGCAGTGGGGTTCCTCTATTCACAAGAGGAGCCTCCAAGCAGCTGCCCTTCTCTGTCATCGGCTCCCTGAATGGTGTCCACATGTTTGGGGGTGGCCACGGAGTAGTGTTGCTCAGCTGTGAGACTGAAGGCGGGGGTAAAGTAGTATGGAGAGTTTTCCAGGACAGTATGATGCTCATTGTCGTGAGTGGAGGTGGACAAGATGGTGCAGGTGACAGCAAAGAGGACGAGGTGCGTTTACAGCGGCTCCTGGAGAATGTATGGAGCTGCATGGTGCTGGTGTTGGGGCAGGATGAACTGACTAATGTCAGAAATGTTGAGAGACTGAAGAGGGACTTGCGGTCCTGTTTCAGCCTCATTGATCAACTGTTGGAGGACAGGCAAGAGGGCATCCTGGGTAACCTGACACACTGTGCGGATTCACTGCTGCCTCCAAACCCCACTCTTCTTCAAGAGGCTGTGGATGGCTTCGCTCAGGCTGCAGACAGTGAATTCGGCTGCCTCATCGTCCATGGGCGGATAGCTGCAGCAACTGAGAAATGGTGGCGCCTGGCTCCACCGGAGGTTGTGCTGCTCTCGGCTTTGATACGGTCCCTCTCTGCCTCTGGATCAGCCTCTTGTGATTACCCAGTTTTCCTTCCTCAGGGCAGCCCCACTGTTGCCCACCGCCTGCTTCGCTTCCAGCTGCTACCTGGGGCAGATGTGTGCGTGCTGTGCGGCCCAACGCCTTCCCTGCACAGCGCTGAGAGTGGGATGGTGGGTCGTTTCTGGACACCTCTTGTGGAGACCCTGAGAGACTGCTTGGCTGTTGGAGAACACAGTTTACCAAGATCTGTATCCTTGCGCCCTGATGTGCTGGCACTACTTCTGATTAACCGTGAAACACGTCGCTCAGTCTCCTGTGTGCGGACTTCCACTAATCGTCCACTGGGTGAACCTCCTTTACCCTCCAAGGCCCGCTGCTGGGAGATACTGAAGCTCTTCTACATCTTCAGCACCACACGCTACTTCAACCAGGAGGAGACTTTGTGTGTGTCCCCTGAGGAGAGGGCTCAGAGGGGCAACACTGATGACTTTGTCCTTGGATTCTCCCACCAGCCACTGCAGTGCTATCTAGTTACAGAAGAGTGCAAAAGCTATGGCCTTCAGACTCCGCAGCACCAGCTCTTTCTGCTCGCCCCACTGTCAGTGCCCACCTTTGCATTGCGTACAGTGGCCACACAGACTCTCTCTGATATTGTTGGTGCCACTGGATTTTAATAGAAGTATTGAAATTGTTAGCACATCTTGATTGTCCATGAACCATCAATGTGACTAAAATAATACTTAAATGTGAACCAGCTGCTGCTATTTAGATTCTTATTCAACCCTATTGATTGCTGCAACAAATGTGCCTCCATCTGTCCATATTTGGTAAAGACTATCATAAGCACACCACTGGTTAAAGATGAACAGTAGAAAAGGTTATCACTGGTTATTTTCACTTTACTACTCGGGTATTTAAAGCTGGCATTATTCGAAAACAATGGAAATTGTCCAACCAAAGTGAACTGCTTTGTTCTACATCCAGGAAATAAGTCACTGTTGCACATTGCGTCTAACTTCACTGACTGAAAGGCCCTTTTTAGAATTAATTGTTAGATTAATTGAATACCAACATTTTCAGTAATATTTGACTGTATTTGAGCATCATGGTTAAATGTTACATAATGCTTTGTAGACATTCTGAATCATTCTGGCTCAACAATGTTGTAGTTTGAATCCTAAATATGTTTGTTATATCCAGAGGGTCTTGAATGATCTATTCACAATGTTCCTTTTTACTAATGTGATAATGAAAATGTGTGGCTTGTATTTGATGATTTCTACACAACAAAGTTGTTCGACTGTAGAATTCGAAATAAACTACTTGACAAGCAATTCCTCAGACAGTTCAATGGTTAATAAGCCTTTCAATTTAAACTACTCACCTATGAAAGTAAACACTTTTTATAATGTTTTTTGTCCTCTGAAATGTTCTTGGCAAAGACTGTACTGGGGTAAATATGTGAATTTAACTTTAAGAAGAAAAACTATTAAAAGCATGTTACAAGAAGTCCATTCAATAAGTCATACCTATAACCGTTGTCTTATGTGAGTTATCACAACTATATGTATTCCCAACCACTTAACGCTGAAATTATAGTGACTATAAACAAAACAATCATTTTATGAATACATCATGTAATGATAGTTACAGTGCTGTCTGTTGTTCATACCTGCACTGATCATTTTTGAAACTTTTTGAAGTCACACTTGTAGGTGTGAAGGGCCAGAGTTTTATACCGATTGTCATTTGTAACATCCCAGTACAAAGGAACATTTGTGATCCTGTGAAATTGAGCATTTTCTAATTATTCTGATTGCACAATTATATTTTGTCAAAGGAATTAGCATTCAACCAGAAATGTAAGTGGGGTGTAGTCGTAGAGATAGGAGGAGCATTCATTATTGTTTTGTTTACAAAGAAGCTTAAAAAGTCTCCACCCAAACCACATGGAGCTCCCAGAACAAAAAAAGTCTCAGTGCAGTCAGGGAGCCCGGGACAAACTCTGGCGATATCCCCACGACCCTCGTCTGAAGCCCTCAACTGTTTCAGCTCGGTAACCGGAGAACAAAGCCTGAGTGACAGCCTCACGGTGCGTAAGATAACGGAGGAGAGGGGGGTGGGATAACGGGCCGCACAAGAGGGAGGGATACGGTCGGTCTGGCTGTGTGTTGCCATGTGTGCAGGATTCATACCCCAATAATTTCGGAGGGAGAAGCAGTCAGTTTGTGGAAGCAGCCATTGTCTTTAGAAACAGCCTTGGATTTAATCACAATTTTGATCGGAGCCTTCTTTGTAGGCTCAAGGTCCAAAGGTCTGGGCGCTTAGTCCTTCTTAGGAGCTCTGTGGTGTCACAACTTTTGATTTCACTCCTCTCGAGAGAAGTGACCGCCGTTGTGCAATTCGCTGTGCACCGTAGAGGCTTTTACAAGTTCCCCAACTTGTGAAGGAAGGCCGTGACTAAACAAATGTCAGCCACACGAATGCAGCTGCTGTCACCCCGAAACGTGAGGCTTTTGAGCCGGGGGCGAAACGAATTGTTAGCCGGGGCTGGCCCCAGGGTCTGCTCACTCACCTCTCCCCCTCTGTCGTCCTCCTCTCCCGGCAGAGCTTTGTCGAGTCTGAGCGCGACGCGGCGTGGGCTCCCCAAAGAGAAAATGTCCGAGAATGGAGTGTTACCCCGGGCCAAGGTGTTGACCATCGACAGCATGAACCCCACGGTGAAGAAGGTGGAGTACGCCGTGCGGGGCCCCATCGTGCAGCGGGCTCTGGAGCTGGAGAGGGAGCTCTCTGAGGTTTGTACTCGCTGTCTGATCTCTATGGACAATATCTGCTCTTTGTATTTCAAACTCACCCCAAACATGTTGTTATAGCTGTCTTTCATTACATCAACCCATCCTTCTATTAAATAGAATGTGGCAACAAGTTGTGTATATTTTGTGGATGTACACCAGTGCAGTGTGTCCAGAACATATCATCAAATTAAGTTGTTTTTGTGTTGCTGTATTTAAAACAAAAGACTAATTTAAGACTATTAATCATATCAGTTAGAACTTGACTTGTGTTTATATTCATTTGAATTCCTGAAACTTCAAAATCTCTTTCAAGAAAATCCTTTTAAAAATGGTAGATTTGATTCTGTTTCACAGTTTTCACTTTAAAGAGACTCAGCAAATTTCCTGCTGATGAATGGTTTTTTAAAAAATGAAACCAGCAGATTTAAATTCCTGTTTACACTCTCACTATTACTAAACTTTACCTCAAAAGAAAATGGTGTTATCAATTGCTGTACCGCTTGCTTACACACCGTCTTATGAAAGTCCTTTAGTTAGTCAGTAGTTCCTGAGGAGACTGATCATGTCAGCAAATCTGTAGTTTGGTTAGCATCATGTTAATGGCTAACCTTGTTTTAAGACCTGTCTCTGAACCACAGTTGTTTATGAAGTGACCCTCTGTGGGAGGTGAAATTTCATAGACTAAACCACATACTGTTTTTGATATGTTTGACCTACATGTGATGCAAATATATCATATGTTGCCTCACTTGACCTCTTCCAGTCCTCAATGGTAAAGTGTCAATTTTGCTAAGCAATCAGATATGGTATATATCATTATAATCAATTTGATAATGATATACATTTTATCTTAACAGCTGGAAAACAAACATCCATTATAAATACAGGCTTGTTATTGTATTATTTTTCAAAGATACTTTTCATCTGTTCCTCTCACACAGTTTATGGTGATGTGGCAACCAGCGCTTAGTGTACTGAGTTCAGTCTGGTGTGAAAACAGTCCTCTCTTGAGTGCTTCGCTCAGGAAAGGAACGAGTATTTTGAAAAGGTTGTTCCACAGGTGAAAGAGCCTCTAGGGAGTTTTTTGACTAGGTCAATACTTATCTGGAGTTGATCCTCTCTCTCTTAATGGTATATTTATTTCTTCCTCCTGTTCAAGAGTTTGATCAGGTGTAATACAAAGAAATGCAGTTTGATTTAGATGGTAAACATTTGTATTTCCCACTAGGATAGGGGAAGCACTGAAATGTCTCTGTTCTCTGAAGATTGTCCCGCTGCCAGTAATCATTTAAAACGCTCCCATCATTTAGATGTAGCTGTGTACATAGCCGGATGTATTACTACATGGATGAGGCTCATGAGACAGTTGAAGTTATGATAGCTATGTTCCTAAGATTGGCATGATGACACAGTCACTCAAGAGATAGACATATGACTGTCATGTGTATTGCTTACACAGGCCTTAGCTAATCTGAACTAATGTCAGAATACTGCTTTGAACCAGTATTCTTCCATCTTGTTGACTGTAACACCCTCTCTTGTATGTAAGCATATGAAGGGCTCTACTAAAGTTACTTGTTTGTCCCATGCAACCTGGTGTATGTGATGACTACTTCCATTCTTGCAAGGATAATACAGACATGTATCCTAATATTGAAGATCAAGCCGGTGACGACTTTCAATGCTGATGTTTTGTCCAAAACACATTCCTCTTCATTTTATAAACCCCTCCCTTGGGGTTTGAATGGTGATGCATTTCTTTGGGAAATGGGTCACAATAATGCATTCTCGCCTTTATCCGTGGATTAATCAGACACAGATACCCAGCTCCAGTTTCCTACACACCTTGTTTTTCGGAACTGATCTCTTAGGGTTTTTTTTTATACACTACAAATGCAGCCCTGTTCTTGTGTTTTTCCCCATAGTATCCGATTTACAGCACAGTGAATAGAAACGGGTCATACCTTGAGCCAACTTGCTCTACCAGTTAACAAAAGCACACAAAGGCTCCTCGTGAAGTTATTACATTGTGGTCTTTGTTTGTTCTAATGAGCTGTTAGATAATAGTGAATGAGGATCTTTATCCGAGCGTTGCTATGGCGACAGACAGTAAACGCACAAGGCTTGTTTTTGTTATTCTCTCTACATATTTTCAATGAATGCAAAAAGCAGAACTCTAAAAACGTTTTCCATATTTGCATTTCAAATATTTAATTTGAATATTGAGTGTATTTGCAAATGCTATGTGAGTTTCTATCCTAGCTTCTCATTAAAATATACATCTAGCAGCCTAAGTCACATCCTTTTTCACAATGACTTTCACTGTTTGTCATTAATGAAAAGCTTTTCTTGGAAAGCCCTTGGAGTAAAAATAAGTACTTCCTGTGCTGTACTTAAAAAGCACCGTTTGAACCTTCTGCATTGTTTTCTGGGATGTTTTATCTACGGTGGAGAACAACTGGCCTTTTGGAGACAGTTTTTACGGTCAGAGGTCAGTGTATTTCTAAAAGATCCCCATCGACCTAGGGGTGTTATTCTCTCCATACAATGTTATTGGTCCAGACTGAGAGACGCCTCTAATGTGCGACCAATGGGAGAGCCAGACTCAGTATCCTCCTAAAATCTGCACTCCATTGGACACGTACAATAAACATGCTGTTTTGATTTCTGCAGGTGGTCAGTGTGAGGTTCTGCTTATGTATTTTTCTGCAGGGTCATGCTGTTCTGAACATCTGTTATTAACATCTTGTGTGGGTGCTTGTGTTTGTGCACGTGGCTAACTGCATTTCTGTCCGTCAGTTGTCTCAGCTGCTTGGGAGATTATCTTTCAGAAACATATTATTGGCTTGGGAGACAGTAAATTGATACCTTTACTTGGGGATGTATTATTGTAGTTGTTGTTGCCGTTGTTTACTGCTTTGCTGTAATACATACTGTTCCTTTCCAGTCTAAAGTCACTTAGTAGGTTAAAGGCAACTGTGCACTGTAAGTCCGTCTTTATGTGTCAGAAGGTTAATGGTATCAGTGTGATAAGCAAGTGCACAGGTCAAACTTGGTTTCCGTGTGTACACATACAGTGCTATCTGGATCAAGGCTGTTGCAAATGCACGTGTGTGTGTGTGTGTGAGAAGAAAATAAATAAGTAAGGGATAAAAATGAATCTTTGACGCCTAACAGTATATTCACTTTTGTGAGTATTCATTACAATTAATTATTTACGGGGGGACATCAATGAATAAATGACACAAATGAACACACTCACTCCTAAAGAAAACAACTATAAATTCTAACTTTTTTTCTATCTGCTATTGTCTGATGAATATAGTGTGTATAAAATGTGCTGTAAGACTTGTACGCTTTGTTTCTGAAAATCTAATGGTCTGTTAAAAGGCATTTTGGCCTGCATGTTGTCATTTGGACCCCTTAATGTCCTCGAAAAGGCTTCTAAAATTCTAACATTTGCAACATGATACAGAAGGGTTGATATTGCCAATAGTTGTTTAGGGTTAATTTAATTTGAGCTCAGTGGATATTTATTTCACTCTTTCTTTACAGACCTTTAGTACATCACTGCTTCAAACAAACCAATAATGCCATCTATNAAAATGAATCTTTGACGCCTAACAGTATATTCACTTTTGTGAGTATTCATTACAATTAATTATTTACGGGGGGATATCAATGAATAAATGACACAATTGCGCAACGAATGTTCATACCAATGAACACACTCACTCCTAAAGAAAACAACAAAGAATTTTGACCAAATTTCAACTATAACTTCAAACTTTTTTTCGTGCTATTGTCTGATGAATATAGTGTGTATAAAATGTGCTGTAAGACTTGTACATTTGATTTTGCCTGTGTACGCTTTGTTTCTGCAAATCTAATGGTCTGTTAAAAGGCATTTTGGCCTGCATGTTGTCATCTATTGCAGGGGTTCCCAAAGTGGGGGTCGCGAGATGATTACAAAATAAAAATGGAAAATA